GCGGCGAGAGGGGCGGCGAGAGGGGCGGCGGCGAGGGCGGCGGCGGAGTGGGCGGCGGAGGGGCAGGTGGCGGCGGGGCCGGCGGCGGCGGCGAGGGCGACAGTGACGGCGGCGGCGGAGTGGGCGGCGGCGGCGGTGAGGGCGGCTTGTAGAGCACCGTGATCGAGATCGTGGTGGGCTCCTCCTCCATGCCCACCGGAGCTCCGAGCTCCTCGGCCATGCTTGCGAGGAAGGCCGGCAGCGTCGCGGCCGCCGTGATGTCTTGGGCGGTCGGCCCCCCCTCAGCCTGCACGATGGTCACCCGCACCGTGCTGTCGCCGAGGTCCTCGAGGGCCATCTGCTCGGCGGTGACAGTCACGGGGGGATCGCCGTTGGCGAAGGACTTGATCTTGGCGGCCTCGACGGCGTCCAGGTTGATGGCGGCGAGCGCGCGCCGCCGCCGGGTCGCGCCAATCTTGAGAGCGAACGAGGAGGCGGGAAGACAAACAGGCTCCTCGGCGAGCCGGCGACGGGCCTCCGTCATCCCTTCTCCGGGCTGTACCTCGAGCGACGTGGCACGCGCAACGAGGGTGGCCTTCGCCTCCTCGCGCATGAACTGCCGCCAGCCGTCGATGCCCTGCTTGATGGCGCCCAAGGCCATGTTTCCGAGGCGCCTCTCGACGTCCGCAACCTCCTGGGCGAACTCCTTGTCGCAGAGCGCCATTCCCGCCTCAGCAGTTCCTGTGATCACCGCCTCACCGGCGAAACGCGAGAAGTCGAAGTCGGACGCGAAGGGCGAGCGCACCGCGTACATCTTGCCAGTGCCCTCGATGGCGCCCTCGGCCTGCGCCGAGGTGGCAAAGGTGCCCGCATCAGGGTAGACGTCGAGCCTTCCAATGCGCGGCACCGGGTCGGCAAAGGACTGCCCGACCAGCCCGTGCGCGATCAGCGGCTTCCTTTGGGGCGAGTAGGAGAGCTCGATGTCGAGCCGGTGGCTAGGCCCGGCAATTCGGTCGTGAACGTGTTCGCCGTGCACGACGATCTTCCACGGCGCCCCGTTGGTGTCGGTGGTGAATGGGTTCACCTCTATTGTCGCGGTGGACATCTTGGTCGATGCATGAAGCCCACCGCAGAACCTTTCCGAGTTTGGCCCGAGCATGAAGTCGTGGCCACCGCAGGAACCCTTGACATTGCTCCAGCCCCAGTTCTGATCTGTGGGCGAGACGATGGGTGCGAGATGAGGCGGGGCGAGGTGAGATGGGGAGATGGGACGGGCGTGGCTGGGCAGGCTGATGCGGAGTAGGGCTGGGAGGAGGTTGTTTTTTGGGCGGGGTGGGGTGGGGTGGGGGGGGGGGGGGACCGTTCAGCTCGCGGGCAACGTAGCTCACGTACCCCCACTTGCACAAGCGGTCGCCCGCGACGAGGGCAGAGACGTGGACCTCCGTCATGAAGGTCCCATTGACGAGGAGCTTGCCGTCGTGGAGGGTGTAGAGCGCCTCCTCGATCCGCACGTTGACGCTCAGCCCCGGCGTGGAGAGGTAGTTGTAGAGCGCACCGTCCTCGCCCCGAAAGTCCGCCCGGCCGCCCTTTGACAGGTCCAGGTGCGGATCCTGCCGCACTCTGGCGACGTCCCTGCCGGAGCACCGTTCAAACTCAAAGTTTGCGTGCACGAGGGACAGCACGAGGAGGGTGGAGATTATGCCAAAGATGAGGTACATCGCCCGGCCCAGTGGCCCTGCTCAACCACGCGACGGCGGCGACCGAGGAAACGAGCAGCTGCAATGGCGATTTCGGCGCTTCGCCGATGCTCCGGACGGCCGAACGAAGCCGGGATCCATCAATAAATAACAAAAAAAGAAGAAAAAACCCAAACTTAGGAGGAGGAGGGAGATACCCGAGCAAAATAAGATCACGAGGGACGCGGTGAGAAAGATGATGGAGAGACAGGAGAGGGAGCGACAGGAGGGGAGCCTCGGGGCGGATGAGACGTTGTTCCCAGACAGAGGGGGCGCCCCAGAGACACATAAACTGGCAGAAAGAAGACTACAACGTGTACCCTGTAGGCTGCGAGTACGTGCGTTCGCGCTGCAGCGCGGCGAGCGACCCAAGGCCTCGAACGAGGAGCGTTGTGAGAGGGAGCGACTGTCGTGGGGATCCGCGCTGGGGACTGACCGCTGATCAGGCGCTCGCCCGGAAAAGTGCGTGGGCGGCAACGACCCGTGCGCGGCGACCATGCCAGCGTTTCAATGCGACCCTCAGTGCCTCGCCGACAATCTGCGGGACGACTGCATTGCAGGTCCGGAAGCTCCCGTGGAGCTAGCGTCGCTGGAGCAGACGATCGAGCAGATGATGTCTATGGCAAGCACGGACTGGCAGTACTGGCTTCTCGCGTGGCTGGTCGTCACCGCCGCCCTTTCCATTCTCTCGTCTGTTCGTCGCTGCTTCTGCCCGAGCAGCCCAAGCGCGGCTCGGCGCTACAGCCTTGTTATGGCAGGGATGGCTTGCGTGCTGTCCACCGCCGCACTCGCCACCGCGGCCGCGCTGCACAAAAGAAATTCGATGCTTATCCGCAACACCCTCGCCTCTGACGCAGCTGAGCTCTTCGACCTCCACGTCCAGCTGCTGCGGGACACGATCCCCGCGCCCCTCCTTCGCCCCGGCATGCTGGACGCACTGGTGGGCTGCAGCTCCGTGGCGCTGTGTGTCAGTGTGGTCGCGGTCATCGCCGTGCTGTGGTACCAGCGTTGCGTGCTGAGGTGCCTGTCTTGGGCGCTCCTCTTGCTCGTGCTGCTGGAGGCTTGCCTCGTGCTGCTGCTCCTCTACTGGGTGTACAGCTTGGACGGCCTGACAAACGACTCGGTCGAAACGTTTCTGGGCTCCGGCCTCGCCGAAGTGCAGCGTTTCGGGGAGGCGTCGGGGCTGGAGGAAGTGCTCGACGCCATCGCGGACACGATTAGCGCCTCTGTCTCGGTGCTGGAGGGCTACATGTGCGTCTCGTACACAACATGCTGCCGCGGCACCGCCGACCGCACTTGCGTCCGACGGGACGCGAGCACCGACGCTGGGCACGTGGTTGCGGGCGACATGCAGGACCCGTCCGCCCCCCTCTTTTGCAGCTACGTCACCGGAGCGGACCACGATCTGCTGCTTGCTGGGGCGCCGTCGGAAGAGACTTGCGTCTTGCTGAGCACAGCGCTCGGCGACAGCTTTAGCCTGCCTGCGTGCAGGGCCGCCTTTTGCACGGAGGGCGTTGACGGCTACGTCGCCTTCTTGAGGCGCATCGTGGCCTGGCTGCAGCATAACGCTGCGCTGGTGGCCATCTTATGTGGCTCGATGATGATCGTGCAGCTCACTCTCGCGGTCAATCTGTGCAACGTGCGGAAAGAGGACCGGCGCAGGGTAATCGGCCGCGACCACTGGCGCGACGTACGGCGTCAGGAGCCGCGGTGGCGAGAGCTGGATGGCGTCGAGCTGGCGAGAGGAAGGCGGTGTGAGGCCCCCCAAAGAGCGTAGGCGCCACCCCACTCTGCTTGGTTCCCCGACGTTGCTCCCTCCTCTCCTCACAGGCACAATGACCGCGGCCCACCTCCGCGGCACGTCGACCGCGGTTCCCCGCTTCGGTCTGCAGCGCGTCTTTAGTCCAGCCGCGCAGTAGGATCCAGCCGCAGACCCTCGCTGGGCCTCCCTCCCCCCTCTCCCCCTGCAGTTCCCTGCCCACGCAAAAGTTCCCCGTCCCGTCCCCAACCGAACGAAGAAAACTGCTGAATATCAACCTCGGTGCATAGCATCGGCATCGAGCTGTTGAGCATTTTCTTCCTCGGTGTATTTGCCATTGCACTTAGGAGGAGGTGCATGCCTGGGGCTGGATCCAACATGCTACGAGTACACGCGTATGTAAAGCTGCTTGCGGTGACTACATGGATCATTGCCATTTGGCCGTTTCTGTCCTCGTGGTCTGGATCCTTCATCCTTTGGTTCAACATTGGCTTTGAAATTCCAAGACCGACCCTCACCTCTACTCTATTACAGCTGGTGGTCACGGGCACAGCATGGGTTGTGCGGTCGGAGGTGGTGCTTGCGGTGGCGCATTCAACTGTGCTGGTCCTCCTCTCGGGAATCGGTTATGTGCCTGTGCTCAGTCGGGAGATCTTGCTCTGGAGGGCTGCATATCTAGCCTCACTGGGAGCCTGCCTTTGGGTCATGAGGGCAGGGGCCAGGCATCTCCTGTGGTGCATTCTTGGCAGCCAAGGAGCAAAGCACGCGGCCCTGGCTAGCTGTGGCGTGGCTGGGAAGCCGTGCTAAAGTTGCGTGCCCGCACTAAAGATGCGGGACCCACACTAAATGTACTGCAGCTGCCCGCACCTAAAGTGAACTAAATGTGGCGCTAAATTGGAGATAAACACACACTAAATATGTGCTAAATATGTGCTAAATATGTGCTAAATATGTGCTAAATATGTACTCGAACACGCACTAAATAGCGCACTAGGATACCCATCACTGAGCCGACGATGCTATGGGTAGCCCCAGGGTGGCGCCCACCCCCATACCCTCAGGCACTTGCCTGCGCCCTGCCCGCGCACGCCGCGCACGCGCGCGCACGCCCGCGCACGCCGCGCACGCGCGCGCACGCCCGCGCACGTCGGCGCACGTTCGCGCACGTCGGGGCACGCCGCACTACGCGGCACTGCCCAGGTTCCCTCACGCTCAGATTCCCTCACACTCAGATTCCCTCACGCTCAGATTCCGTGCAAAGGGGTGCCGAGGTATGCCACAGGCCGGGATGGAGTGAGATCTTGCGGGGCAGGGCGTGGGCTAGTGCGCGAGGGCGCAGGCAAGTGCCCGAGGGCATGGGGGTGGGCGCCACCCTGGGGCTACCCGTAGCATTGTCGGCTCAGTGATGGGTATCCCTAAACTATCACTAAAGTTCATTCACACGCACTAAATTTAGACCCAGGCGCCCTCCGGTGTCCACCTACCTACCTCGGTGTGGTCGGCTCGTCGCTACGACGGAACCGTCCATGCTAACTGAGGCCACGCTCACCATCGGCCCGTCCTTCAGCATTGAGGCGGAGGGCCGTGGCCGGATCTGCAGCTGCCCCGTCTGGCTCGCGCTCTGGCTGGTGGTGCTCACGGCGCCCTTTTACCGCTGGTTCACCAAGGCGCAGCCGGCGCTCTCCGCGCCCGCCTTCGCCGTCGGCGTCGGCCTCTATGTCGCCGCCTCGCTGATGCTCGTGCTCGCCACCAACATCGAGCCGGGCACCGTGCCGCGCAACGCCTTGTGGACGCCGCCCTCCGAGGACCTCATTGGGCAGCCGCTCACGCGCAGCCGGTCGCAGAACGTGCGCAGGATGAGCGGCGGCGTGAGCGTGCTGCGCGGCGTCGAGATGCGGCACAAGTTCTGCACCACCTGCGGCGTCGAGCGGCCCATCCGCGCCGTACACTGCCGCATCACAGACCGCTGCGTCGAGAAGTGGTGCTGCTCAAGGCTTCTCAACCCGGCGTGGGTGTCTCTTGTTTCACGGCCGCATCGTCTTGCTTAGGGTACCGGCGCCTCGGCTCACTCCCGTCGGGACAGACTGGTCCGCGTGCGTCAGCATGGCACTGTTCGTAGGACCGCTACTGCTGGTGCATGGGCATGAGTCACTTCCTGGACACTT